ATCACTTATGGTTACTTTTTCCAAATCACTTTCTTGGTGGTAAAAGGTCACCTTTAATAAATGAGACGGAGTCCTTTCCTCTTGTGTTTTGTCGATGTGAGACTCCTTACCCTTATTTGAGATTGCTTGAAATTGCTTGGCCAGATATGGTACAAACAACATTCATAGAACATATATATATATATATATATATATATATATATACCAAACCCAGCAACATATAGACAAGAATAATTCAAAAAATTCAACGAACATAGTTCATCAACTTATAAACCAGATCTAGATAGAAAAATTCAACAAATTGTTGAACTAAAAGTAAGGAGATAGTGATTTTTGGAAATGAACTGCTTCATGGACGGTGCCGCAACTCCTAAATCACCCAACCTCCGCCATATCACAGATTCTCATTTCACTTTTACCCTCCACATTTGTACAACAACAAAAGCCAAACACTATATGTGTTAATTAAAGTTATTAATTTCATAGTTAAACTTATCATTTGAAATGAATCGACTATCACCTTGCTGCAATTCTTGCTTGGCACATGATTATCATAATCCACCGAGTTAAAGAAGTGTGCCTTGCAAGTACAACAAACAATGTTATTGTTCATTCCATGGACCATTTTTAAGTGATCCTCAAATGTTAAATTCACTGATGCTATGAAATAAAACGTTGTAGTGATTGCATCGAATGATCTCGTTTTGCCTAACAATTTTACTCTCACTTACTTTTTTCACTTACGGTTGTAGTTGTTGAATCACTTAAGGTTGTAGTTGAGAGGTCAATGAGGGGCCAATGAATAATAAAGAGACCCAAGAGCCAAGTCACTTGCTTGATGGTGAGAGGTCTCCATTTATATGTGAGGTGGAGTCTCTTTCTCTTGTGTTTTGTCGATGCGGAACTCCTTACCCTTGTTTGAGATTGCTTTGAATTGTTTGGCCAAATGTGATACAAACAGCATTCATAGAACATGAACACATATACCAAATCCAAAAATATATAGACATATAAGAATTCAACAAATTCAACAAACATAGTTCATCAACTTATAAACCAGATCTAGGTAGAAAAATTCAACAAATTGTTGAACTAAAAATAAGTAAATGGGGATATTTGGAAATGAACCGCTTCATGGACGATGTCACAACTCTGAAGCCGCAACTCCTAAGTCACCCAACCTCGGCCATATCATGAATTCTCATTTCACTTTTACCCTCCACATTTATGCAACAACAAAAGTCAAACACTACATGTGTTCATTAAAGTTATTAATTTCAAAGTTAAACTTATCATTTGAAATAAATCGACTCTCACCTTGTTGCAATTTTTGTTTGGCACGTGATTCTCATAATCCACCAAGTTGAAGAAGTGTGCCTTGCAGGTAAAGTAAACAATGTTATTGTTCATTCCATGGACCATCTTTAAGTGATCCAATCCCCTGATGGTATGAAATAAATTATTGTAGTTGTTGCTCGAATGATCTCGTTTTGCCTTGCAATTTTCTTGTCTCAATTACTTTTTTACTTACGATTGTAGTTGTTAAATTATTTACGGTTATAGTTGTAGTCTTCAATGCACTGGGCGCTCAAGATTTTAGATTTGCTTCCATATAGCATAGTGCATCACCTCCAGTCTGCCAAAAGTAGAGTGCAGACGACATCGTGCTGCTGGACATAGTGGCGAATTGCATCACAGCATAACGTTGGGCATGGTATCGACAACGCAACACACCATAGGGCATGGTGCTGATGGAATCGTAATGCGCTATAAGGGTGGTGCCGATATCACGTGCCGTTGGAATTATCTCGTTTGGCAAGCTCCTGCTGGTGAGACATTTTGGTGTTGAATGTGTACTGATGATGTTGTTGTATGTGTTGTTGTTGTATGTAGAGAAGTGTTACCTAGGGTGCCATTATGCAATTGGGGAGGTGTTGTTTGGAAATTGGGGTGAGTCCCAGAGATTGAGGTGTCATTTGGCAATTGGTGGGATGTCATTCAACAATTGACGTATAAGGAATATTGTATGGAAGTTCTACTGGTACGTTAAACAAGATTTCTTCGATTGCAATAACGCAAGGTTAATCCTTATATATGAGGCACCATGGTTGTCTTATGGATGTGTAGTTGGTCTCTAATTGTATCATAATGTTGAGTGTACAACAAAGGATTTTGACTTCCAGTAAGGGGGAGATAATGTTTTGAGATATGATTCACGAATCTCCGGCGGAGTCGGAGCGCAATTAAGAAAGAGTCTTCTAATTGTGCTCATATTCAATCATATAGCCAAGAGCAATCACGTTAGAAATTTAACTTGTGTTAGTGCCCAAAACTAGACTAGTAATAGTGGGACAAACTTACAATTGAGGTGGATGATCGAGGTATCGAATCTACCTTCAATAAAGGCTTCCTTTCAGTAAGTAGAGCGTGATCTACGCAAAGAGATAGAAGAAAGTGGTTGGTAAGACCTAAGGCACCAGCGTGATACTAGCCGAATGCCCTCTGATGCTAAAGTTAGCCAAAGGAGAGAAGAGTTGACTATTGACAATGCAGGGGCATAAGTGTCAAGTAGAACTTTTATCTTGTACCATGGGGCAAATGGTTCTTTTATACAGGTTTTTGGTGTCCTATTGGTGTGAAGTTTCGATGTAGGACTCGTGGGAGTAGCATGAGAGGCTGCCACATGTCTGAGCGAATATACCAGTGAAGAACTCATGAAATTCCTACAAGATACCTTCTGGGAGGCTGAATAGGCAGGGGTGCTGAAAGCGTCTACCAATTGCTAGGCTAGGCTTGCCAGCGTGGGCTAGATGGCCTTGAGAGGCTGGTCAGTTATGGTACAAACAACATGAATTATGTATCCTAGAGGTCCATTGATCATTCTCTCTCCTAAGTGGCTATGGTGAAGACAATATTGATGAATGGTTTGAATAGTTAGTGGGCTCATATTGGGCCCGTTGGTACAACAATTGATATCATAGCCAGGTTTGGCTAAGATGCACTTGGTTATAGGTGGAGTCATTGACATTTTCAAGGACGCGACTCAAGTTAAAATTCTTAGACGGGCATAGAAATGTGGAGTGGTCTAGTAGAGCAAAGGCTCAAGGAAATCATTATAATGGCTAACTAGGTGGAGCAAGGACTCCTGACAAAGCTCAAGAAAATCTTCGGCGTAGTTGGAGTGCTCCTAGTAAGGGTCAAGAAAGTACTTGTCAGAAGAGGTGAAGTTGTGGGGACTCACTCTTGAAAAGCGGGGGGATTATGGACGGGTGAGTTATCTTGGCTTAGATCTCTCAAGGTGGAGATTGTTGGTGTAGATGGCTCGATATAAGCCATGATGTGTAAGTTCCACATCGAAGAATACAACAATAATCTACAGGTTAAATATATGTGGTCCACTCCTAATTGCATCGAGAACTTTTATGATAAAACCCAACCTAGAGGTCTATTGGGCCTTCTCTTTCTTGGGTGGTTAAGGTAGGGACAATATCGATGCATTGTTTGGACAAGTAGTGGGCTTCTATTAGGCCTATTGGTACAACAATTGGTATCAAAGTCAAGTTCGGCTAAAACACATTTGGTTCAAGGTGGAGCCATTAACATGTTCAAGGAGGCAACTCAAGTAAAATTTCCTGGACATACGAGGAAAGGTGGAGCAGGCTAGTGGAGCAAAGGCTCCTAGCAAGACTCAAGAAAATCCTTGTCGAAAGAGGTGGAGTTGTGGGTGGCTCATGCTCAAAAAGTTGCGGGTGTTGTGAACGAGCGAGTTACATGGGCTGGAATCACGCCAGGGTGGAGATTGTTGGTGTAGGTGGCTAAATATAAGTCATGATGTGTAAGTACCACATCTGAGAATACAACAATAATCTACAATTTAAATATAGGTGGTTCACTCCTAATTGCACAGAGGCCTTTTGTGATAAAACCTCACACCTAGAGGTCCATTGGGCCTTCTCTCTCCTAAGTGGTTAAGGTGGGGATAATATCAGTGCATTGCTTAGACAAGTAGTGGACTCCTATTGGACCCGTTGGTACAACAGATATTGCTAGTAGGAATCAAGAGCAATAGAGGCGAATTATGACAACTTGACATCTTAGCAAATAGTTTTTCATTCGCCTTTGCCTCAGAATGCCATCTATGTTGCACATACACAGATATGCACAAAAATTTACAAATATATTTAATAATACTTATATAGATATATATACAGTCCCCTTCTATTGAGGGATCTCTCAAATAATTTTATTTGAGGGACGCCCTTTAGGGTACCTTACAATTTTTTTCCCAATGATCCAAACCATCTATTTTTTAGGTTTTCATTCATAGATCATCCTTACAAAAAATTAGACAAATCGGAAACTGTTTC